CGTATTGCTCGGGATGCATAAGCGGCAGCAGTAAGTGGAAATGGAAGATACCCTATCCCGACCGTCTTTGGTACACCAGGGGAAACAAGGACGGTTTACCGGAAGAAACCTCATGGCAGGTTACCCCCCTACCCTTCCGCAAGGAAGACCCGAGCGCTGTAGCTCACCATGCCGAGGCTGCATGCGCAGATGCAGACCGCGGCATGTTTTTGATTCTTTACTCAAAGTTGAGTTAAAAATCATGATCAGTACGAGGACAATCCGATCGGATGATCAGGAGAGTCGACTCAGGAGGCAGTAGCCTGTGACGGACACTGCCGGGCAGAACTTCGGAACGTACGGTCGCCTATCATGGCAGTGACCCGCCGGTAGTACCGGGCCCGGCCCGGCGAGCCTCGGAGGCTAGTGACCGACGGTACTCGGCGTAGTACCGCCCGGCCCCCGCCCGCGAGGCTAGTACCCTACCGTACCGTCGGATCAAAGAGGACCCTACCGTCACTGCCATGATAGGCCGCATAGGCTTTTTTAAAGTTATTATCATGGCAGTGACGGTACTACTAGGCTAGGGTCCTCTTTACTGACGGTAGTCACCCCAGGGCCGATCACTACCCCCTTTTTATCAGATAAAAGTACCGGTGCTTCTCTCCGGCCCGGACTCCGCCGGGGAGGGAAGGAAGGAACGTTGTAGCAAAAGGATTCAGTGACGGACCGTACCGTTACCGTACGGGAGGGAAGGAAGGAACGTTACAGCTAAAGGATTGACCGTTACATGGATGCCCAATGGAATTAAAAGGGATTTGATGAATAAACCCTTCGTTTTCGGATTCCCCCGTGCCAATGGAAGAATCGGAAGGATAGGCGCTCATTGCGTTCCCTTCACTCGCATGCTCTCCACCTCCTCTCTGACAAACATGCCATCAGCAGACGAACACGTTGTCAATAGATCAGCTCTTCTCTCCCTGTCCTCACTTGACAAAACTCTTCACCTTCAAGCTTCCGTCAGACTGGGACATGGAATGATTCTGACCTTGAGAGACTTGGCGTCCAGCTAACCCTGTCATATGCATACATATGTTCTATACACACTTGTTTGACGTCATAGCTCCTCCTCACCTTCAAAAGAGAAAAGCAAAAAAATGTTGCATCAGCGAGTAACGCAGTGTTTGACTCCCAGGTTGATGAAAAGAATCCGGTTGGCCTGCAAGCCATGCAAGGACGCGAGGCTCAAGTGCGACAACTTACAGCCTTGCTCACGGTGAGGATGAAGGACGGGGTGGAGCTGATTCAGAGGAAGAGGGGGAGGAGGAGTGGGTGGTGGAGGTGGTGGAGCAGGAGGTGTGGGGGGCTGTGAGGAGTAGGAGTGGGGGCGAGGGAAGAACGGGAGGTGGGGATGGCGTGTAGTCTTGGCGTATGTGTGTGCAGTTGGTCTGCTAGTCTAGACCGCCTGGTCTCATGTCACCTCCTCGTCTTGAGACGGGCGTGTTTCTGATGTCTCTCTTTGATCGACTCAGATGCACTCGGCTGAACATCGGAGAGAGCTGCATCAGGACGATGGAGGAGAAGGAGGAGAGGAGGAGAGGTTGCAACTCGTGTATCACTTGCAAGATCGCCAAAGCAAAATGCGACGAGGGTCGCCCATGCGGGCGTTGCAAGCGTCTTAGGCGGGACTCGAGATGCATATATGAGGAGCTACAGCCCATTCAACCGCGCAGGCTGGATGAAAAGGAGCAAGAGGAGGAAGCAATCGAAGAGCAAGAAACGAGGCACTTGAGGAAGAACAAAAAGCAGAACTCTATGCCGTCTGAGCATGAGGCTATCGCAGAAGGGCAGGCGCAGGAGATCCAAGACGTCCAGCAGCTCTCTCTCCCTCCTGACCATCCCGCCAGGTGGCAGCAGCTGCAGGTAGAGAGGCCGATCGACTTCTGGATACGCAGCCTCTCCTTCGACAGGCCGTCCCTGCTGCGCGAGCATATGAACTCCATGGGCTGGCCGGACCGAGTGCTGGCCCGACATTGGGAGTTCGGCTTCAGCTCCAAGGAGCTGATGAACATCTTCGTCTCGCTTCCTCCTTACCTGCAGCAGGTGACGCGACGAGCTCTGCATGCGATCGAGATCATCATGGCGGACAAGATGGAGAAGAAAGCTCGGACTCCGCAAGCGAAGCTGCTGATGGAGAGCGAGACGGTATCGGAGCAAGACCTGGAGCTAGAGAAGGCGTTCTACGAGCAGCAGAGCTTCGGGGTGATCAAGCAGCATCTGCATCCATCTACGGGGAAGCGGGCGCATGTGTACATATCGGATATCCTGTGCAAAATCATCGGGCTACATGCGGAGGAGGCGCTGGCGAGGATCGCGAACAGGGAGCTGTCGCTGATCACGACGGAGTTCGGCTACTTGTGCTACGTGATGTTCGGGACCTGGTTGTATGCGACGAGCCCGGGGCGTCCATTCAGTCTCGTGGGCTGTATCCGAGATCTAGGGAGCAGCGGAGATACAGGCTGCGTGGTGACGAGGTTTGTGCAGCAGCAGGAGTTCGACTGCCATGGGCGGGTGAGGTCGATGAAGACGTACATGCTGCCGGTGAGACTTGCATGGGTGGGTGGGGGGGGAGGGGAAGGGGAGGGGAGGGGGGGCGGGGCGGGGAGCTCAGAAGAGAAGAGGAGAGAGAGGAGGGAGGCAGGGAGGCTGACTGGAAAGCTGCAGCTGGACAAGGAAGGCTTCAAAGCCTCGGCGGAGCCTCCGGACAGTCCTTTCGCTCTGTTCAACAAGCACATGACTGGCCAAAGAGACTACGAGACGTTGATGAACGACTTCGAGTCCGACATGTTCGCGGTGAGCAGGAGAGGCTGGCTGCTTGCTGTAGCGACTGACGGTGGGAGGGGGCAGGGGGAGACGATCTTGGGGATGCAGAAGTCGAAGCAGGGGATGGAGCGGCTAGAGGCGCTTGGGAGGGACCTGGAGCGGATGTACCATCCGTTTGTGGAGCATGCAGAGAGGATCCTGCAGGAGAAGTCGCCTGGGGGGCGAGTAGGAACGCTGGCTGGGTCTCTAGGCCCGTTAGTGTCTGGGAGCTCCGGAGGGCCTTTCGGACTGGGGACGGTGTCAGGTCAGCAGACGGTCACTGGGTTGTAGACTAGTAGCGGCTCTTCCGGTCGGAAGCTTTTTTGTTTCCTGACCGCTAGTAAACTCAGTTATCAGTATCATACTGCCACCGATTGAGACCCGGGGTGACACTGAGTTCAGGGGCCCGCCGGGCCCGGTCTCAGTTTACTTGAACTCCGGCCCTGGAGGCCACGGCACTGCGGCAGTAACTGATCCGTGGCATTTCAAAGTTATTAGCCTGGTGACTTTAACTTCAAGCTGCACCGGGACTTCAACAACCTGCGGCACTGGCAGGGACTGCGCGGCCAGTCACCCATTTGAACGCCCTGCCGGGGCCCGCCGGGGACCCGGCAAGTGGGCCGCGTCGCCGCCGTGTGCTGGGGCGGGCCCAGGCCCAGCCTGTGACTATTCAGCGAGGCCGCCGATGATCACGGTAACCCCCCCCCCG